CCAACGCCCCCCATTTTGCGGGGTATTTACCCCCCCCCCGCCATAGCGCCCTATTTTGTGGGGGGGGATCAATCCCAACATCTCCCCTTTTGGGGGGTTATTTACTCCCCCAACACCCTTTCCAGGGTGGTTCAATCCCCAATGTTCCCCCCTGCCTTTTGAGGCACCCTCCTTTTTGGAGGAGACTAGAACCCTAACGCCCTCCTTTTATTGGGGGAGTCTAACCCAAACCCCACCCTTTTTGGATGGATTCAAGCCCAACACCCCTTTTTTGGAGAGAGGATGAGACGGGATGGGAATAAACTTCAGTGCCCCGTATTTAAGGGGTTGTGATAGCCCCCAATACCCCCCTTTTGGAGAATGAGGAAGGATATAACCCCCAAATCCCCCATCAATTTGGGGGATTCAGGGACTTTAAGCAGGGAGAGATCCTAACCCCTTTTCTTGATGTTTTTCCCCCCGAGGCGCCGTGCGCTCGGCCAAGGAGACGCTGAGCAGCCAGTTTGTGGAGGGCTGCCACGGCGTCGTGCAGCGGCTCACGCTGCAGGAGCACAAGATGGTCTGGAATCGCACCACGCACCTCTGGTAACGCGCCCGCCTGCCGCTGCCCCACGCGTGCGGGGCCCCCAGAGCCCCCCTTGTCCGGCCACCTTTGCCACAGGGGCGATGAGGACCCGCTTTTGGGCAGCATGTGTGACCCGGCAGCCAAATTCCTTCTGGGGCTTCTCTTGGTGCTGCTCTATAGCCCCTCAAAAAACCCTTCTGTCTTTCCCCAAATGGCTGGGCTGAAAGTGGAGCGGCAGCTCCCAGAGTCCCAGAGCGGCTCCTGTGGGCTCCCCACTCCGCTTTGAGCTCTGCCTCTCCATGAGGGACCCGGGCGTCAGGAGTCAACAGCTTGGCTGCCCCCTAAGCAGATTCCAAGCGTGTGCTGTCAGCTTCTTCCAGGGTTCCCAAGGGTTCTGAGTGAACAAAGTTGAGGGATTTCGGCTCACTTTGCCATGAAATCAGCACTTCCTGGCACATGGGAAAAAAATTCTCTTCCTTTGGACCTTTCCTTCCCCAAATTTGAAGTGGGAATCAGCCTAAATTTGAGTCACTGTGTTCCTCAGTGATACTTTTCAGGGGATGGGAAGGTCACACAGCCATTCGGGAGAGTTTTACACACCGACGTGATTTCAGACATTGCCAAAATGGCAGGGAATTTATACAGAGACTGCAGGAAATGCACACGCTGCCGCCCAGCGCTGGTCATGGTACAACATTTCCTTAGGAAAACAAAGTCAGGATCAGTTGAATTCAGGTGATAAATGTGTTAATGTCGTGCCCAGACACAGGAGCCTCTAAGGCAGTTGCTGAAGCTGCTGAAACAGTCTCAGCTAATCGGATTACACTTAGTAAATGCGCCCGGGCGACACGCAGCGCGCAGAGGCTCGTCCGCGTTGGGAACGCGTTGCGGGGATTAGCTGGGGTTAGATCCATGCGACCCTTGTCCTTGTGATGTTGGGGAGGCTGCAGAAGTGGCGAGAGAAGAGGGTCTAGTGCAGGGCTGCATCATCTGAGGGACAGAAACTGGTCCGAAGCCCCTTCCGATGGGATAAATTCCACTTAGGGCAGGTGATGATGCGGGTGCAGGAGCTTGGGAATAGCTCAGAAGCTTTGTCCCATCTAAGCAAATCTGGGACCAGGTGTTGGCCCCGAATCCTGCTGTGCAGTCCTAGAGCTCTGGGACCTGCATGCAGCCCATTTATTTCCCTGTGGTAGTTTCGGGTACTTTTTCACCCCAAACTGGCAGAAAGGTGAATTGCTCCTACCCTTCCGGCCTTTCCTCGAGGGGAAGCGCCAGTGCAAAACCCTTCTGCGTTTGTCACACGTGCTAATCCCTCCTTCCCCAGGAACGACTGCGAGAAGATCATTCACCAGAGGACCAACACGGCCCCCTTTGACCTGGTGCCTCCCGAGGACGGTGCCGACGTGAGCGTGAGGGTGATGAAGCCCCTGGAGGCGTCGGAGCTGAGCCTGGAGACGGTCTACGAGAAGTTCCACCCCTCCATCCAGTCCTTCACCGACGTCATCGGCCACTACATCAGTGGCGAGCGCCCCAAGGGCATCCAGGAGACAGAGCAGATGCTGAAGGTGGGGACCACGCTGACCGGCGTGGGGGAGCTGGTCCTGGATAACAACACCATCAAGCTGCAGCCCCCCAAGCAGGGCATGCAGTACTACCTCAGCAGCCTGGATTTTGACGACTTGCTGCAGAAGCAAGAGTCCAGCGTGCGCCTCTGGAAAATCCTGACCGTCGTTTTCGGCCTCGCCACTTGCGCTGTTCTCTTCTTCGTGCTGAGAAAGCAGTACCGGCACCAGCGGGAGAAGCGGCGCCTCAAGCAGATGCAGGATGAGTTCCGGCAAGCCCAGGAGCGGCTGGTGCGCGAGGGCAGCGCGGAGGGTGTCGAGACGCTCAAGAACGCGTGTGCCATCTGCTTGAGCAACACCAAGGCTTGCGTCTTCCTGGAGTGCGGCCACGTTTGCTCCTGTAACGAGTGCTACCAAGCTCTGCCAGAGCCCAAGAAGTGCCCCATTTGCAGACAAACCATCTCTAGGGTGGTTCCCTTGTACAACAGCTAATTTGGGGGGACCTTTGGGGGCTTTTTGCATTGCAGTTCTCTGTCTGCAGGGGGATTTCTTCAGCTCCTGCTTTGGACAGCCTTGCTGTTTGAATGATTTCTTTTGCTGGGTTTGAAGCTGGAGGAAGGGGGAGCCAGGTGGATTTGGGTGCCTTAATAAGGGTGCAGAGCCCAGCCACAAAAGGATTAGATCCTGCTCATGAGCACTTAAAGCTTGCATTGTGCTCCAGAAGTTTTTAAGGAGGATCTGAGCAAGCAGGTTTCAAAAAGCACAGCTCAGTTAAGTTCGTAAATGAATTTTCTTAATTTTCCTTTTGGTTTCAAGCTACGTTTGTCATGGTTGGGCTCTGCATATGTGTTCACATTCTGGCAAAATAACGTGGGGTAGAAAGAAGTAGGGTGAAAAAGAGCCATATTATGGTTGCTTAGAAGCTGCAGGATTTGGGCAACACTGCCCTCTAGCTCCCAGGACTTCCCCCTGGCAGGGTGGTTGTTTAAGGAGTTTATGGCATTTTGTATGACACAAGTGCTTTTTCTGGTGAAAAAACATGGTTGGTTCAAACAGAGTGGAATCTCTGTTGCCTCCTCCTTGTTTTCTTACCATTCTCACAATAAAAGCTTTTCTTCAGTCCCCCCTGCAGCGTTCAAATAAATGAAAACCAATCTGATTTTGATGCAAAAGGGGAATCGGGAAGCGAAAGCGCTGCGGTTGGTTTCAGCATCCGGGCTTGAGACAGGATATAGCACACGCCTACATTAAGAAACACACATTGGTCTTGGGCTATTAAATCTAGGTGGCCATAAAGGTGGCAAAAGGAGCAGGACAAGCTGTTTCCCGTCTTCTGGCTTGCTTGTTCCTTAAGGTTTGCCAGCATTCCTTGTTTTGGGAAAAGCGCTTCACTGCCATCCCACACTTTCGGAAGCGCTCATGTCCCTTCTGCACTGGCCCGGGTGCCTTTCCCTGCTTTCATTTGCTCCCAAGAGGAGAGCAGATTAGCCGGGAAGGATCAGGATACTCCCAAAGGGAAGTGTCACGTGGGTTTTGTTGGTTTTCCTTAAGGCGTTTTGAGATCTGCCAGTTTTGTCTTTGCCCTCCCTGGCTTCCTGCAAGCTAACCTGTTAAACACTGGAGAAAGAAGAGGGGAATCGCTTTCCTGCATCCCAGCACAACACAAAGCACCACAGATTCTGCTGCCCTCCTTTCTGTTCTGTAGCTAGTACAAAATAAACTTGGAAAAGGAAAATCACCGTCCGACATTCTTGCGGTCTGATCCTGAAGCAGGGAATTCCCTGTGCTGGGGCACAGCTCTGGATCTGAGCACAGGGATCCGGCTGGGAGAGGAGCTCAGCCCTTTCACCCCCGTGGAAGCCCCCGGCTTTGCACCTCGGGCCTCGAGGAAGGAAGTGGCCAATTGCGGGATCAACCGGCCCGGCTTCCCCATCAGACGTTAACGAGTTCAGCCCTGCCGGGCCGTAGACGGCGGCGCTGACCTGCAGCAGCTCCGGCACCAGCTCTGACAGAGGAAAAGCTGCTTTGCCGCCGGCTGCTGCCGCGGTCCCTCCCGGCAAGGCCGAGCTGTAGTGCCAGGGTCTCCCCAAGGTCTCCTGTCTTTTGCTGCCTTCATCCCATTTCCCTGCAGGGAGGTTTTGAGGCTTCCTGGAGCCTAAGTGCCTCTCTCAAAGGGCTCCTTGAGAAAAGCAAAGGGAGGAACCCCACAAACGCTGAGCCCCTCTCTGCAAGCAAAGCCCTGGAGGGAGCTGCTGCGGGGGGCTCCGTAGCCCCCAACAGGGCAGTAAAGCGGCCGGGCCGGCCCCTTCCCAGGTGCGTTGGAGACTGTAGGAATATCCACCCTCCCCTTCCAGCGCCTGGCAGGATCCGCTCCCTGCGGTTTGGACACGGTACCGGGATCTCTGCTGAGCACCGTAAACACTCGGGTGGGTGCCGGGGGGGTGGCTTTTCCCACAATGGCATTTTCTGCCTCTCATTTTGCTCCCTTTTTTGCTCCGTTCTGGCAGGAAAGGCCCTAGGACAAAGCAAAGCACCCCGCAAACCATTGCAGAAACCCTCTCTCCGCCGGCTGCAACTACCCTGTGCTGGGGTCTGTTCACGGCAGCTGTAGCCCCCTCCCTTCCCATCCATTTGCCCCATCCCAGGATATTTCTGTCCTCCCTGATCCGGGGCCTTGCCTCCTTCACGGCTCTTCCCCGCACGATCCCGGGTGCCGGCACAGTTTATGTAAGCGCGTGACAGCTTGGGGGAGTGCGCGCGGTGGCGGGGTGGCAGCTCTGCCGCACGACAGGGGCGGATTTGGGCAAAAACCCAAGCTCTGGCGGGGGGGAGATGAGCGGCACTGCGTCCTCCCCTTCCCCCGCGCGGGCCCTGCAGCGGCGTTCCTGCTGGGATCAGCGCTCGCCGGGGGCACCGTCCCCAAGTTCGAGGCCCTGCCGCGCTCCGGGCTGCTGCCGTTGGGGCTGCCGGTGTGGGGTGGGCGCTGCTGAAAGCACGAGCGCTCTTGGCAGCTCTTGGCGTGAACAGGGTTTTGGTGCAAGGGATGCACAAAGGGGGTGCAAGGAATTTGCAAGGGATGCATGAGGGATGTGCGAGGGCTACAGGAGGGATGTGCAAGGGACACACAAGGGATGTGCAAGGAATGCCAAAGAGCTGCACAAGGGGTGTGTAAGGGATGCCCAAGGGACGTACACAGGATGCTTTTGGGATGTCTAAGGGCTGTGCAAGAGACCAAAGGTCTCAGCATCTGCACATGACACATCCATGCTCCATCCACGGCCTTGGTGGAGCCCCCTCCTGGATCGGGGCGGGGGGCGGGAGGTGGGGGTCAACGACGGGCAGATTTGGGGTTATG